GGGTGCCAGTTGCGGCTCGGATTTGGGTCGTGACAAGTTATCTCCCTTATGAATATATTTATTTATTTATTTGAGTTTGCTGTTCATGTATAATTTTTCGCTTCCATTCTTTAGCTTAGAAAACATGAGAATTTAAAAGAAATAAAAAGAAATAGTGAACAAAAAAAAATTAAAAAAAAAACTAATTTTTTTTTTGCGGTTAATTGAATTTTATTTTGTAATTGTAAAAATGTTGATGCATCTATAATAGACTTTGCAAGAACATAAGTGAAAAATTAAATTTGATCATCAACATAGTATGTCAAAATTAGTCGCGGAATTAAAGAAGATAAAAAATAAATAAAAAAGACAAAAATTCATATATGAAGAAGATCACATATAACTCGAAATATTTTGAAAAAGATCAAATATACCTTTTTATATTTTTATTTTATTAAAAAAATTTTAATAAAATTTTCACTTTCATCAGCGAAAAATAATTTTGATTCTTCAAACATACCTCAAAATACTACGAGAAGGGTCAAACATACCTTATATAATCTTTATTTAATTTTAAAATACATAATTTAATTTTCTTAAAACATAGTAATCAAATATGTAATTAATTTTTTTTAAATATGTAGCTTAATTTTTAAACACGTTGTTGTAAATATGTAGTTTAATTTTTTAAAACATAATAACCAAACATAAACTTTATATATGTAATTTTTCAACATGAATGTGTAGTTATCTTGGGTTGTTGTTATATAGGATTGACACTTATAAACCATAGATTTTTAGTACTTCTTTAATGTGTTGTTGTCTATCAATTCTAAAGTATTTTGACTTTTGATTGTTATTATTGAATTATTTTATATTATATAAATATATAAAAGTATTTAAAATATATTTAAAATAATTATTTAAATAGGCAATTTAAATTTATTTATATAATACATGCAATAAAATACTAATTTTAAAAATTATTAATCCGTTCAAAATAAATATTAATTTGAAAGAAAAAAATAATATTGTGACTACAACTATGTATACTTAATATTTTAGCAGATCATTTAATAACAAACATTTTTTAATAAAATAACAAATAAAACTAATAAAGAAAACTGTATACGTGATAAAACTTAAATCTAGTCATGTTAAATTTGTATTGTCATAGTCAACGGAGAACTATAACGATCTTTTTCTTTCAATTTTTTTATAAAAGTTTATTTTGAAATCATAAAAAACTCTTTTTATCCTTTTTATGTTATTAAAATTTTTTAATGAATCACCATCAAAGTTTTTATAAAATAAATTGTATATATCTCTAATACTGAAATAATAAATAAAAATTAATTTTAATGAGTCTTTTTTGCGTATGACATGATTCATATGTTATCGAAAATATGAAGATAATCACATAATAGAGGAAGCATGATGGTAATTTTAGTTTTGTTCTTATTTCGCTCACATAATTTTGAGTATAATTGAATAAAATATATTTTTATCATTAATTTTTTTCTAGAAAATCGGTGTATAACAACAACTCATTTGAATAAATAAGAGTAACTCTTTAGCCAACTCGACTAATATCATATTTTTATTTTTTATATAAATTTTTAATATTTTAATTTAGATATAAATTATCTTTTCGCGATTAAAAATTATAAATTAAAATAGATAATTTAACCTTAGTTCTGTTTTATACTTTTAAAAAATTTTCTTGTCATTAAGGAATAAGAAATGAAAAAAATAAAACTGAAAAGAATAAGTAAAAAGGAGGAAAATTGAATTATGTTTTTTTTTTGAATTTTTTTTGTTCTTTTCTCATGTTTAACTAAGAAATCATCAATAATTAATCTTACTAAACATTTTCAATATCTTAAAAATATAATTGAATAATATATTTAATATTTAAGTTAAAAGGTAAAAATATAAAGTAAACTAGATTATAATATAAACATATCATTTTAGTCAAAATGATTTTTTCTTTTAAAAATTAAGAGGGTTAATTATGGGGATGATGTATTTATACCTCCAATTTTGACTGTATTGTTGACAACAAAGAAATGCTGGTCGGACCAAATTTACATCAAGACATACTATTTATTCTAGAAAAATGCAGGAGTCTTACTCAACTCAAGCAACTTCAAGGCCATCTCATCACCATTGGCCATGGACAAACTCAGCTTTATGCATTCAAGCTTGTTCGTTTATGCACCATCTATCTCTCCAACCTCAATTATGGTCGCTTAATCTTCAATTACATCACTGTCCCGAATGTTTACCTTTATACTGCGATGATCACTGCATACACTTCCCTTCCTAATTATAAATCTTCTATCTTGTTATACCGCGAAATGGTTCGTAGTGGCTTGTCAAAGCCCAACCAATTTGTATTCCCGATTATTCTAAAGTCTTTCCCTGAAGTTACAAAGCCTTATGGGGTTGGAATGGCGCATACCCATATCGAGAAGATGGGTTTTGGGAAATACCCTGTTGTGCAGACAGCTCTTTTGGATACTTATTCGAGGTTCTCATCTGATATTAGAGTTGCACGCCAGCTGTTTGATGAAATATCTGAGAAGAATGTGTTTTCATGGACTGCAATGATAGCGGGATATACTAGAGTGGGGCGAATGGGGGATGCTATTTTGCTTTTTGAAGAGGTACCTCAGCATATAAGAGACACTCCTTCTTGGAATTCAATAATTGCAGGATGTACACAAAATGGTTTGTTTAGTGAGGCCATTTCACTGTTAGGAAGAATGATTGTTGAGGAAGGGATGATTCAAGGGATTAAGCCTAATGAGGTTACATTTGCATGTGTACTTGCTGCTTGCGGGCACACTGGGATGCTTCAGCTCGGAAAATGTATTCACGGGTACATATATCGAAATAATCTTCATTTGAATTCTCTTACAGTAAATGCTCTCATTGATATGTATGGAAAGTGTGGTAGCTTGAAAGACGCAAGAAATCTTTTTGATAAGGCTAATAGGGGCAGTTTGACATGTTGGAATTCTATGATCAATTGTTTGGCTCTTCAAGGTCATTGGGAAGGTGCTATTGCAGTTTTCAAAGATATGTTGCGATATGGAGATGATGTAAAACCTGATACAGTGACTTTTATTGGCTTGTTAAGTGCCTGTACTCATGGAGGATTGGTGGAAGAGGGGCTTAGTTATTATGATTTGATGACACGGGTATATGGAATTAACCCTGAAATTGAGCACTATGGGTGTTTAATTGATCTTCTCGGACGAGCAGGTAGGTTTGAGGAAATTATGAAAATCGTGAGCGAGATGCACATAACACCAGATGCAGTTATATGGGGTTCCTTGCTTAATGGGTGCAAAATCCATGGGCGTATAGACTTGGCAGAATTTGCACTGGAAAAATTGATTAGTATTGATCCCAACAATGGTAGTTATTACTCTATGCTTGCTAATTTATATGGGGAGTTGGGAAAGTGGGATGAAGCTCGAAAGGTAAGGAT